GCCAGCGTCAAGCCCCTCCTGGACAAGGGAAAGGACCACCTGTGGCTCGACCAACAAGGCGAGGTGTCATGGGACCCCCGCATCCAGTCCACCAGCGACCCCCTCCTCCTCAAGCCGGTCGGGCACCTCAAGAAGGATGGAGCGAAGCACCTGATCTACAGCGAGGAGGGGCCGGTGGGCACAATCCGCTGGCCTGGAGCGGAGCTCCAAGGACCCGGGGCGACGCTCCTCCGTGTCACCGGAGGGGGCGGAGGCACGGTCCGCGCCCTGACGCCCCAAGAGGTTTGGCGAGTGCAGGGAGGGACCAACGACGAGTGGACCCACTTGCGAGCCCAGGGCTTCACCGAGGACGAACTCCTCAAGGGCGCCGCCAGGGCGCTCCCGCCGAGGACCGCGGAGGCAGTGCTGACCGCGGTGACAGAGGCTCTCGACAGCACCAGCACGCAGCGGGCCGGGGTGTGCCATGACCCAGAGGAGCAAGCTGCGTGGGAGGCCACCAAGCGCTGGTTCCGCGCCTGGGCCCAGGCACCGGATCAGCCCGCCTTGGCACTGGCAGCAGAGGACGAGGTGAGGGCCGGAGGAGCGCTCACCGACGAGATGCACAAGAACCGCCGGCGCGCCCAGGCAGTCCGCTTCAAGATGATCGACGAGGACACGCTCATCGGACCCCGCGGGGCCCCAGCCGCCGAGAAGGTCAAGCTGGATAAAAGTGTGACACGCTCGAAAAGTCCTCGCAAAAAGAGCCCCCGGCGTGCCAAAGAGATGCCAGCCACCGACCTGGTGAGACCGCAAGCGCTGGGCGTGGCTCGGAAGACCAACTACCCCGGGAAGGAGCTCGCCCCCGCCGGCCGCGCTGAGCCTGGCGGAGCCAACTACGCCGGCTGGTTCGCGCAGCAGAAGATGGAGGCCATGCTGCAGAAACTCAGTGAAGGCACAAGGGCAGGTTACGAGGGGGGATGGCGGCTCTGGGTTGCCGTGCGCCAGGCGCAGGGGCTCAGCCCTTGGCTCCCAGGACGTGATCGCGAGGAGCGCCTGGCCGATGAAGAAGCGCTCATCAACTTCGCCGTCCTTAGCGCGGGTCGTCGGGAGGACCGAGGGGACCATCAAGCAGAAGCTCTTCGCGGTGCGCTACGCCCACCTGGTGGCTGGCTATTCGGAACCCGTGCTCCACAGAGGCCGCCTCTGGAGCACGCTGGCAGGGCTGAAGCGCTGGCAGGGGCCCGAGACCAAGCGGAAGAAGCCCGTCACGCCAGCCATGCTCGAATGGCTCCGCGGCTTTCTCCAGCAGGAGGCCAAGCTCCCAGAGGAGGATGCCGTGGTCATCTGGGCGGCCATCGTGACAGCGTTTTTCTTCCTCCTGAGGGCCTCAGAGTACCTCCTCCAGGACGGGCGCTCGTGGTCCTTCGAGCGCGTGCTGCACGGGGAGGACGTGGAGCCCAAGAAGGAGGGGAGGCGCGTGGCAAGCTTCCAGGACGCCGACCAGATGGTGATTTACATCAAGGGCAGCAAGACGGACCAGCTCAACGTCGGGACGGTGAGGAACCACTACCGCGCCGGCACATCGCTCTGCCCGATCGCGGCGATGGAGCGGCTCCAGGCTCACCATCCTCAGCGGATAAAGGGCACCGAGGAACGGCTGCCCCTTTTCCGCTGGGCGTCAGGTACACCGATCCGCAGGGCAGAGGTGCAGCACTTCCTGACGGTCGCGGGGCTGGCCGCCGGCCTCTCCAGGGAAGAGATCGGCAGCCGCTCCCTGAGGATCGGCGGGGCAACTGCAATGTACCACGTGACCGAGGACCTCTCCAGAGTGCGCCGATTCGGGCGCTGGCAGTCAGACGCGTTCCACGGCTACCTGTGGGGGTCGCACGAGCCGATGAAGGGCATCTCCGGCAAGATGGCCAGGGACAACTCCTCGTTGACCAACCCGGCGAAGGACAGCGCCCCCAGCAGAGCTGCCGCCGGCGCCGAGAGCGCCAGGCGCGAGAGCCCATGAGAGGCCGCAGCGGGCGCCGCCGGTGCTTACGCACCTGGCGTGCGCCCAACCCAAGCCGCCGGCTTCACGCCGTGCGTGCTTGGGCGCAGCCACCAGCCACCTGCCCCGCCGGCGAGTAGCCGCGCGCTCGCAGGGTACACCCGCCCGTGCCTTCAGCACTGGCTAATACCTCACGGCAAAAGCATGCGTGCAGGTCCGTCCGTCAGGGCCCCACTAGTGCCTGGGATACTGTGGGTCCCCTTGCAGCCCTGGACGAGGATCACGCTGGAACCCGCCTGGCACGCCGGCTCTCCATGCCAAGCCTGGGCGTGCCGGGCATACTGGCGCCAGCTGTGCTACAGTAGCTGGCAGTCTGACGGCCCGGGTGGCCGCAGCGCTCGAATTCATGCGCAGGCGCGGGCCCGCGCCCCAGCGCCGGCCCGGGGAACCCCCTCTGTCAGGGGCCGGACCCTGCCCGCCCCGTGCACTTTGGGCACTTGTGAAGGCGGGGGGCCGGGAGATCTGGAGGCCGCGGCGCAGACGGGGGCGCCAAGTGCCGGCCCGCGCCAAGCGCCAGCGACGACACCCTCGGGCCTCAGCCCGAGGTCGGGCTCCGCCGGCAATCAAGGTACCGGCGCGAGCCCAAAGCCTAGCCTCACGGAGGACAGCCGCGCACGCCGGCATCAGTTGCCTGGCGGCAGTCGGCAGACAGAGGGCCAGTCGGGCCCTCACACGCACGCCGGCGCACACGCCAGGCGATGCGTGACTCAGTGCCTAGACGGTGCCGGCAACACAGCGCCTGGCACCCAGTTTTGGCGACGCCCATCAGGGCGCCCACACAGCGCGCCGGCGCGTAGAACCCGCCAGGCGGCCAGTGTGCGGGGGCACTGGCAGCAGCACCCGTATTATAGAACAAAGGCGGCGAGGCCCGCTTCGCGTGGCGGAAGGAGGGACCCGCCTGGCGTGTCACCGCCGGCGGGAGGAGCGCGCGGCCAGCGCAGCAGCAAAATGGGGGGGGCTGCACCGCTGCCGCCATCATCGTCATCGTCTCCTGAGGGCCCGCCTCAACCGCTTCGCGGCTGGCACGTCCCGCGGCCTTAAAGCAGGCCGCGCTTTCGCTAGCGCCGTACTGTGGGGGCGGGGTCTTAGTTGTTTGTCCTAAACGGTTGGACCCCGCCCTCCCCAGTCGGCTTGGGTTTCTTCTCTCCCTGCTCCTGCCTCTGCTTGCCCTTCCCTTTCCCTCTCTCCCGCTCAAGCCTTCGGGGCTCAAAGCCCTCCCAGGGCCCAAAGGGGCCCTCTTTTGCCCACCCACCCTGGGCTTTGCCTCGGTGTCCTACGGCACCGGCGGCGAGGCCCGCTTCGCGTGGCGGAAGGAGGGACCCGCCTGGCGTGTCACCGCCGGCGGGAGGAGCGCGCGGCCAGCGCAGCAGCAAAATGGGGGGGGGCTGCACCGCTGCCGCCATCATCGTCATCGTCTCCTGAGGGCCCGCCTCAACCGCTTCGCGGCTGGCACGTCCCGCGGCCTTAAAGCAGGCCGCGCTTTCGCTAGCGCCGTACTGTGGGGGCGGGGTCGCGCGCAAATGACAGCGAAGGGACCTGCAGATTGTGACGACAGCGGCGATGCGCATGTTGGGCCTCGACCGTGTTGCTCTCGGTGCCGATGGCGAGCCCGCCATCCAGGCGCTAGTCCGGGCCGTGCACCGCAGTGGGCCCAGGCGAGACCCCGAAAGCAAGAGGGCGATCGAGAACGCCAACAAGATGGTCGAGGGCATGCCCCGCACTTTGCGGGGCATCGATCGAGTCTCGGTACAGCGCCAAACTCGCGCTGAACCTCTGGACCATGGGCTGGATGATTTGACGCTCGGGATGGATCCTATCGCGATACCCAGTCAAGGAGGTTGGCCTCTCCCCGTGCCAGCGCTTGAAATGTCGCGCCTACGAAGGAGCCATCTGCGAGTTCGGCGAGACGGCCATGTGCAATATCCAGAATATATCCCACCACGAGGGTCACGAGGCCGAGATCCGCTGGGCGCATCCCGTCTGTTCTCGGAGGCAGTTGGCCCATATGGACGGACGGGCAGTTTCGCCTTCAGGCGCGCCCTGGCTGGACAGGCTTTTACGACGGCAGGCGCGGCGTAAAATCAGAAGAGACAGGACTGAATTGATCTGCAAGCGGCTCATGATTGGCGTTGTTTGGATGAGAAAATGTCAGGGTCCTCTTGGCGTCCTTGGGGGCCCTTTCGCGGCCGTCTTGGGGGCCCCTCCGTCCGGGCCCTAGACGTCGCCGCTGGAGGCCCTCTTGGGGCGCTGATGCGGCGTTCTCAGGCGCTCGGGGGGTCGCCTTGGAGCCCTCGCGGGCACCTCTCGGGGCTCTCTTGGGCGACCTCGGGCCACTCTGAGGCCTCGGGGGCCCCTAGGGAGAGACAGGGTGAGAAGGCGCGCGCCATTGATGCCCCGATGGTGTTGGGCGAAGGTTGGGCTCTCGGAGGCGTCCTCGGGAGACTCCGTGGCTCCTTGAAACAGTCTCATCGCGGTCTTGAGGCTGGTGCGTCGCGGAACTCGCGCCCCCCGCTCTCTCAGCCGGTTTTGGCGCCCCGGGGGGGGGGGCTGGGGGAAGGGTGACAGCCGATCATCTCGCGCGCCCTTTCGCCCCCCGGCAAGCTTGGGCCGACGCATTTCTGACAGGGGTGGGGGGGCGGGGGGGGGGGGGGGGGGCGGCTCGTGGTTTCTGGTTGGTGGCTGGTAGAGCGGGGGATGGGATGTGGGCCCGGCGGCGCCCTGGACCAACTCCGCTCGCAGGGCTGGTGGGATATGTAGGGATAGGTCGAAGGGCGAATGTGGCATATGCTCTACAATGCTATGGGGGAGGGGCCAGGGGTCGCCCTAATATCTGTTGCGCTTCAATATCATGCCGTACCGCTCGTGGCAATTTGGGCTCGAGCGCCAATCCAGCAAAATCCCATGCGTCGGTTCGATTTAGGCCTGCCGATCGCGATCGTCGATCTCCGATCGATTCGGATGCACCGTCATGGCCGAGCCGGCGATCCCGGGCAGTGGCGGACTCTCGTTCGGGCGCAGGCTGCAGCAGCTCCTCCATTTCAACGCCGAGGTGCGCGTCGGGGACAGCTGGTCGCGGCGCAAGGTTGTCGGGCCCAGCGATTTCGAGACTTGGAGGAAGGGTTGGCGCGTCTACAGGACGGCAGCTTTGATTCTCAAGATCTCGAGGGCAGGGCCCCTCGACGACTTCGAAGAGGGCGCGCGGCGCCCCTTTCTTGCTCTACCACAGCATTGGGGTTTGATCTACGTCGCGGTCGGCCACGCTGGAATCAGGTCAGGGCTCGCATCGAGCGCATGGGCAAGCGCCAGACTTCACGCGGTGACTTTCACCCGCAGCGGCTGTGGGAGGCCGTCCTGACGCATGGGGCCTGCGGGTCCGGCTTGGACAGCGAGTGGTGGAAGATGCACCTCGAGCTGCTGTGCCTCGCGGGCCTGGGGGGGTTCTTCCAGCGCGGCGGCGGCGTCCTCGGTTCTCGAGGGGCCCACCGCGGCCTTCGAGGTCGTTGGCCAGGGGCCGGGGGCCAGGCGGCCGTGGGCCCTGGGGCCGGGCGCAGAGCCCCCGCCCGGCGGGCCGCCTGCAAGCCCCGCGCCCGGGAAGGAGCAGAAGGTCATTTGACAGCGAGCGCAGAACAATGATTGAGACAAGCTGCAGGCGCCCGGACGGCCCCGCGGCGAGGGCGCACGGCTGCGAGTGGTGCCTTGGCAGCCGCCGCTCTGCCGACGACAACTGCCCGGCTTCCAACGGACCGACGGGGTGGCGCCCCGAGCGACCGGCGGGCAAGGGGCGCGGCAAGGGCTCGCGCGGCTGATCCCCAGCATCTCCTGCCGCCAAAAGCAGGCGCGCCAGTGCGCCTAGTGCCAGCGCGGGCGCGGCCACATAATCATCAAATCCATGCCTAGATGCTTTGCCCCAGCATCAGGGGGAGATCTCTGTCCAGCCCTCCAGGCAGGGAAGCCCCCCAGCGTCGCGGCAAGGGGGCCCCCTTGCTCCGTGCTGGCGACGTGCCTCGGGAGCAGGGGACCGAACGAGTACGTGGCCCGCTCGCAGTTGGGCGGGAGGGCGGCCGGGTGAATCAAGAACGAGCGCAGTGTGGTGAGGGGCCCGCAGTTGGGCGGGAGGGAAGGTAAAAATATGCAGGCACTGTTTGGGGGATGCCAAGCACATCAGCAGCGCGGGGGCGTGGCACCCCGAGCCCGACACAACCCCCGAGCACCAGCTGTGATGCGCGGGAGTGGGCCGCTTGCGCAAAGAATTGCATGAGGCGCGTGGCGCGAACATCAGTTGGGATGCCGGCCGTCTCTCTCTCTCTCTCTCTCTCTCTCTCTCTCTCTCTCTCTCTCTCTCTCTCTCTCTCTTTTTTTTTTCTCTCTCTCTCTCTCTCTCTGCCCCTCTCTCCCCCTCCCCACGCGCGCTCCCTCCCTCCCTCGCTCTATCCTGCGCAGACCATCACCGCAAGGACATGCCCAGCCTCCCCTGTGCTGCCCCCAGAGGCAAGGCGAAAGGATATGAGATCAGCCACGGATGTCGTGCACCGCGCAGCCCGCGTGCGCGGGCCGCCAGGCCATGGCCTGCGCGCTTCTCTGTAGACCACGCTGGCGCAATCAGGCGTCAGATCGACACTTATCCAGAAGGCTTCGCCCTCCTCCTAAGTAGGTCAATCCATGCCTAGATGCTTTGCCCCAGCATCAGGGCGGGATCCCTGTCCAGCCCCCCAGGCAGAGGGCCCCCCAGCGTCGCGGCAAGGGAACCCCATCGAGCCCAAACTCCCCCTGGGGCTGTCGATCCAACGGGCGGCGGGCGGGTCGCGCAGCGAGGGCCAGAATGGCCGCATTGCGTGCAAGCGTACGAAAGTGGACGGGAGGGAAGAAGATGCAGTGCAGGATGGAGGGGGGGGGGGGGTCGATTTGCTACCACGAGACGCTCCTGGGCTCGTCTGGCAGACGCTGCCGCCGGAACCTCATGGGGGGATCCCGGGCTTCTGCTTCCCCCGCAGCCGGCGGCACTTCTTTGGCCCCTCTACTGGCGACGCGGGCCGAACTGAGCCTGGCGATTTGACGCTGCCAATCGGCAGGGCGGCTTGGGGGATGCCGAGCACATCGGCAGCGCGGGGGCGTGGCGCCCCGAGCCCGACGCAACCCCCGAGCACCACCTGTGATGCGCGGGAGTGGGCCGCTTGCGCACAGAATTGCATGGGGCGTGTGGCGTGGACATCAGTTGGGATGCTGGCCGTCTCTCTCTCTCTCTCTCTCTCTCTCTCTCTCTCCCTCTTTTTTTTTTTTTTTTTTTTTTTTTTTTTTTTTTTTTTTTTTTTTTTTTTTTTTTTTTTTTTTTTTTTTTTTTTTCTCTCTTCTCTCTCTCTTTTTTTTTTTTTTTTTTTTTTTTTTTTTTTTTTTTTTTGTTTTTTTTTTTTTTTCTCTCTCTCTCTCTCTCTCTATCTTTCTCTCTTTCTCCTTCTCTTTCTCTCTCTCTCTCTTTTCTTCTCTCTCTCTCTCTCTCTTTTTTTTTTTTTTTTTTTTTTTTTTCTCTCTCTCTCTCTCTCTCCCTCTCTCCCTCTCTCCCTCCTCTCTCCCTCCCTCCCCCTCCCTCCCCCTCCCTCCCTCCCTCCCTTCCTCCCCCTCCCTCCCCCCCTCCCTCCACAATTGCACAATATGAATACTACTCTCCCACTTCCCCTGATGGCGTCCGGAAGATGTTCGGCACCCCCCCGCGTACTGTTTTTTTACACACAGGATTCCCCGGAGTTGGGTTTTCGCTTGTGTTTTTTTCTAAAATGCTGCTCTCGCTGAGGCGCTGGCCTAATTTTCGGGCTCCCGCTCCTTCCGAATCGTGTTCCCGCTGCAGCGCTGGCCTCATTTCCGCGCTCCCGCTCGTTCCGAATCGTGCTCCCGCTGCAGCGCTGGCCCAATTTCTGCGCCTCTCGTTGTTCCAAAACGTGCTCCCGCTGCAGCGCCGACGTTTTCGATCCTTTTTAAGAAGCCCCAAATCTAGAAAATGATCCCCGGCAAAAACGTTGGAGGTGATTACACATCCGGTGTCGATTCGTTGATTTTTGGGGCCGCAGAAACCCCCCCCCCCCCTGGCCTTTTTCTCGCGCGCCCATCCGCCCGCCACCACCGCCGCCCCCGCCACCACCACCACCACCACCACACCACCACCACACCACCACCAGCACCAGCACCAGTACCAACACCACCACACCAGCACCACCACCACCACCACAGCACCACCACCACCACCAGCACCACCACCACCACCACCACCACCACCACCACCACCACCACCACCACCACACCACACCACGACAACCACGCACACACGCACGCACGCACGCACGTGCACCACCACCCACTACGCACGCGCGCGCGGAGCCACAGGTCCGCTACGACACGCGTCCGCGGATAGAGAAAATCAGCGCCATGGTAAGGGATGGGAGGGAGGGGTAGGACGTCAGATATGACGCGAGCGCACCTAGCTTGCTCCCTCCCCCTCTCCCTCCCCCCCCCCTCCCCCCCTCCCCCCTTCCCTGCGCTCTCTCCTTCCCTCGCTCTATCCTGCGCAGACCATCGCCGCAAGGACATGCCCAGCCTCCCCTGTGCTGCTCCCGGAGGCAAGGCAAAAGGAGATCAGATCAGCCACGGACGTCGTGCACCGCGCAGCCCGCATGCGCGGGCCACCAGGCCATGGCCCGCGCGCTTCTCCGTGGACCCAGCTGGCGCAACCAGGCGTCAGATCGACACTTATCCGAAAGGCTTCGCCCTCCTCCTAAGTAGGTCATTTTGCCAACCTCTGAACTTTCCTCTTTGACTCCGCCTTCCACTGCGCTTGCTTGCGCGCCTGCGATGGTCAAGGAGGAGGTCGGGGAGCGGCGAGGGGAGGGCGTGGGAGACGAGGGAAAGGGGCATCATGAACGACATGAAGGGCTCCTGACTGTCCATTTTGCTTTACATGATTTTCCGCTGTCGTCGCCGGCGGCTTCAGCCGGCCGCTTGGTGGCCGGCCTGTCGCGAGGTGCCCTGTCGTGCCCGCCGTGCCAGCCGGCCCAGCGGGGGCTGCCTCTGTGGCTTCCCCGGGCCGGGCGTCGAGGCTCTGGGGGGGCGGCCGTTGCGCCGGGTCTGCCGCGCCAACCTGCGCTTCGGCCCCGTGTTCTACGTCATCTTTCGCAGGTGCGGGAGCTACGGGCACGGCTGTCGAGTCTGTGCCAGCGCCCCCGCGGGGCCAGTTTGCGAGTAGTGCTGTTCGAATTGTCGGACGTTTCTGCGTCGTTGTCCACGGAGCTCCCGCGTCTGTTGCCAGGCGCCGCCGCGCGCTCCCTGGGCGTCGCTGTCGGTCCGTTGTGCCTCCTGAACCCGAAGGTCGCGGAGGCGCTCTGCATGGGCCCGCGTGTTGTTGCGCCGCCAGGCCGGATGCATCTGGTCGTTTGCACAGAGCCGCCGGGCTCCGCGTTTTCGCGGGCTCGCGACAGGAACGCGCGGGCGCGAGTCCGGTCAGATTGACAACCGTTGGGTTTCGAGCCGCGTTTCCAAGCCGGCGTCGATGAAAACGGCGTGGCCCTGGGGGTGCTAGATGTCGTCGCGTGGGCCGCAGAACGCTGCCAAGCATGGGTCATAATCGCGAGCGCGGCGCGGTCGTATTTTTGGTCGTTGCCGCCGGCCGAAGATCTTCTTGAAAGCGGACTTCGCGATCGGATTTTTGATGCATGCTGCTGCGGAGTTGGCCTCCGGAGACGTGTCCGGCTCCGCTGTTGCCCTCTGGCGTCGCCGAGCCTATCTGCTCAAGGCCCCCAGCGTCGACGGGGTTCAGTCAGCGCCCGCCTGGGCCCGGGAACGCGTGAGCGTTGGGCATGCGGGCCGCCGACCGGGTGGCTGGCCGTCCGTCTGCCCGCGCCGGCGTCGCTGCAGCATGGCCGGGCGACGTTCACCGCGAGTTGCTCCGTCGTTTGCGTCTGTCTCCGGCTGGCCCCGTCGACGCAGGTCGGCTGCGGGTCCGACCACCGACAGGCCGCCGCGGCGAAGCGGGATCGGCTTCCGAGTTCCGCGCCCAGGAGGACGCCAGCTGCTTAGCTGGGGTGCGGAATCCGGCCGCGGTCGTCGCGGCCTGGCCAGAGCTGCAGGCGGGCCTTGAGCCCATCTGCGGAGCGCTGGTAGCTGCGAGGGCCACCGACAGCGAGCTCTCCAACCTGGCGGCTGCTTGCGGTTCCGCGCCAGCCAAAGCTGCGCCGCGCGACCTGGCCGTGCAGCTAGTGCGCGCGCGGATCGCCTGGGCGCCGGGGTTCTTGCGAGGCAGCTGACGAATGCCGCCGCCACGCCAAGATTCGCCGCTGCATCGTGGAGGCGGTCGTCGAACGCGCCCGTGATCCA